TTTGGTGATGGGAAGCCCATGGGGATTACAACTGAGATGGAAAAAGACACAAAATTATGTAAAAATAAACTATTATATTAAAATTAAAAAAAAATGACAGGCAGCACATCTAGTAGACAGTGCCTGCATTATCATGTGACTGACTCCCTAATAAAGTTGATACGCTTGGTTGCAGGTAACAAAAATTCCAAGTTAAACTCCCCGAAATCATTAAAAACACAACTAAGTGGTCCCTTGTGAGACTTGACCACCAAGGCCTCGGTTTCTCATGAGTTTCTTCTCCACCTCCCATGTTTTGGGCACCATCCTCAAGGCTTTCACATTGATCCCCTGACTTGTTCCTCAAAGCAGCAAAATAGCACCTCAGGTCCAAACCTCACATCCTCATATCAGATCGTTAGAATGAGGTAGTCTCTTTCTATGGTCTCTGATTACCTTTCAGACCCATCCTGAAGCATGTTCTCTCTTGCTCTCTGCATTCAGCTCCACTGGCCTATATCAAATGCATCAAACATGCCATTCTTACTTCTGTCACATGGGTTCCCAACACAGAGAGGTATTTTTCTTCCTCTCTGCCTGGTTAATGCACAGACTTCAACTTCCACCTTAAAGTCAACAACCAAAAGAAAGGCTTCTTCTCCATTCCCACCTATCAGACAATGCCAGCCCCTGGTATGCATATTCAAAACAGTGTATCTCCCTTTCATAGTAATGCACAAATATAACCATTTGATTAGCATTTGTTTCTTCAACAAGAACAGTAACTATGTCTGGTTTTGTTAACTCGTTCTGCCAAACAAGTTTCCAGACAGTGGGAACTCAGCAAATATATGTTGGCTGGTTGATTGGTTGGTTGGTTGGATGGATGGATGAATGGATGAATGGGTGGATGGGTGGATGAGTGGATGGATGGATGGATGGATAGGTGAATGGGTGAATCCAGCTTCTAAACCTGGCCAGGTAACTATTAGCTATGTAATCTTCAGCCTTTTAGAGACTCAGCTCTCTAAACTATGAAATGAAAGAAAAGGTTGGACTAGCTGACCTTTAAGATCCTTTCAGAATTTAAAGTGCTGAATTTATAAAGCATTCTTGACAAGAGAATTTCTTTAAGTGAAGGTAATGTGGAACCAAAATAAGAAGTGATGTTTTTGGCTACTCTGATATTCTTTTGTGAATACCATTTTTAATCTAATTAAAATGATAATCCCAATTAATCTGGCTGGATGTATGGTCTCATGGAATAGTTAGCAATCTGGAGAAAACGGTATCCTACAACTGTCACCAAGCAGCTGGAGTTGCCAAAAGCTTCTACAAGCTAGAAAAACATATGCTGACAGTCTAGGCAGATGTTAAAGAAAATATTATTAAAAACATTTTATACATGTTCCTTTCCCCACCTTCCTCCATCCCAAACCGGCAATATTCCAAGTAAAGGGTTAATTTGATTAGTTGCACTGATAGAAATAAAATTTATATCTGTTGAGTGATGTTTAGTACAGAATATTATCATAGGCAAATAATTTATTTTTGAGTGTAAAACATAGTTTTGTTGTATACAAGTGCATAGAAATTTGATTAGACACTAAATAAATTTTAAATCAGGGTCCAAATTCATAGCCATCTATTTGTGCCTGTAAAAAGAAAATATAATTCATTTTTTCACTTGACATGCCTATGAAGCACAAGATAAAATTTCCTACCTGCTCCCCCACTCAACATCTGGATCTGAACTATTATCTGTCTATAAATAAGAAATGAGAATTTTTGTCAGGCAGCTTTGCAATCTGTTCAAAGTAGTCTGGGAATACTTGATTGCCTAACAAATCTCCAAGTAAATTAAGTGGTATTAAGACAGTTTAATTACCATAGAATATTTTATTATATTCTATATCCCCTTAAAAATTTATGCTTTCTAATGAAGTGATATAGCCAGAGATGAAGAGAAAACACAATTAGGAAATGTCCTTTTTACTGTAAAAAGAAACTTTCCTTGTCGAGGAAACCAAGGCCCCACTGTTTTCTACATTCCCTCTCTTAAGTGAGTGGGGTAGGAACCCCTTTCCATTTCCTCCTTGACTCCCAGAAAGAACAACATTTACCAGCATCTCATGTGTGAGGCTCAATGGAATGAAGGCAGGAGGTTACATACCCAAAATCCTCCTGCGTAATCTTCCACTCTCTTCCTCCTCCATGTTGGGCGTTGCAAAGCTTTCCTTGTTTCCTGAACATGGTGGGATGGAGCCCCTTTCCACTTCCACATACATCCAACTAAATAATGAGCTGGCAGAACTGGGACTACATATTATGTTTCATTCTTTTTATTATCTCAGGTTTCTGAGTATAGGGCATGTGAAACACTTCCACTGAAAATTTGACATAGGTATTTTTTTTCCTTCATTTTGAAAACAGAAGAGAATGGGGGAGGTGAGAACCTGACAGTCCATGACTTTTTTTTTTCTTTTTGCACAAAACTCATCTGATCTTGCATAAGTTGGGCCCCAAAATAGATGGGCTACAGGAGTAAAGAAAATATTTACCTGTAGTAGGTCCTTATAGAAACTGGTGCCACAATGGGATTAAATAAGGAAGGTATTTACTAAGAGAAGTGTCTGTGAGAGAAAATAGTGAGCCAGGAAGGCGTAAGAGTGCTCAGACCATGGCTCGAAGTCAAGAAGAAAGGGAGAGAAGGTTGAGCAGAAGTGTCCTAGGCTGCCATGGAATGTTCGGAAGGGTTATCAGCGACTCCTCAAGCAAAGCTAGCCATCAGAGGAATTCCATGTCTTTCCAGAAAAAAACCTGCCTTAGTATTTGGCCACAGTCATGGGCTGGGAGCAGCCCTTGGGAGGGAGAGAAGTCACCTCCAACACAGAGATTTCAGGGCCAGGCAGGCAGACTGCCAGCCAGTTCCACTACCTGCTGCTCTTCAGAGCACATTCTCACAGCCTTGACGGAATGTTCTTGAACCAGAATTGATCTATCTTATCAGTATATCATTCCATTTCATAGATTTTAGCCACTCTGAAAACATAAATGGTAAGGACCAGAACAAACCAACTCCAAGACGTCTTGTTATAAATTTTGTTTTTGTCAGTCACTATCAGTCAACCCCAGAAGGCTCCCCCAATGAATAAAGGCTCCTTAACTTAGTTAGAATTTACATTCAGCTGTTAGTTATAGAGCCTAGAGGTTAAAAGGGTTCAACAAAGATGGGGGGTTATTTTCCTGTCATATAAACAAGGTCTGTGGTAACTCGGCAACAGTGTGATAGCTCTATGATGTCATTCTAGGTCCACCTACCTACTTTATTTCCATACCTTCATTGTTGAAGTCTGGCTACTCTGAAGGTCACCTCAGGTTCCGCAATGGATGCTGGGCTCCAAACACTCCAGTCAGGATGAAGAGAAGGAGTAGAAAGCATAAAGGATATGTGCTAGCTTTAAAAAAAAAAAAAAAAACCTTTTAAACACTTTCCCTGGGAGGTCCCACTAAATACAGATAATTTCAACATAAAATTCACTGGCAACATCTTGCTACATAGGAGGCTGTGAAATGCATTATTTTAGTTGTACAGAAAAATGACCAAACCACTTTCACTGGGGAAGGGGATGAATGTTGAGTGAGTAGTCCTTGTCACGACTATTTTTGTGGTTTGGTTTTGAAAAGAAAATTTTAATTAAAAAAGACTGAGATTTTCCCGGTGCTATCAAATGAATGGATTATATTTATGAGAACCATTGATCCAATTCAATTGCCTTCCATAAATTTGCACATATTATTTACTGGTGGCTTTCTCCATATTACCATTCATTTTGTACTTCTTTTCCTCTCTGGGCAACAGTAAATTATCTTTTTTTCTTTTTTCATTGTATTATAGGCCTTCTAGGCTATCTGTCCAGCCCAGCAGCTCCCCTCCATGAAAATTTCTCTCCCAGACAAGAGTGATCCCTGAATCAGTTTAATACTGATAACTCCCTAACTCTTTACCCTTGGTATCAGAGATAGAAGCTAATCACATTGAGAAGGCCCTTTTCTCCCAACTGAGAAACTGGATCTGAGTTAAAAAATCACAAATCAGCCTCCACTGATCATTTGAACAAAGCACATATAAGATTGAATGTCTGTCTCTACAGAAATTTGTTGAGTCTATGGGGCAGTAAAGAGAGCCATCTTTGGGACAGAGGAGAAGAAAAAATAACTTTTTATTTTGCTCTAGTCATGTGGATTGATATTTTCCCAAACATTACATCCAGGTAGATAAACTAGAAGGACCTTAAGTATTTTCTAAACTATCTTTGTTATTATGACCTAACAGATACAATCCCTGAACTCCCTCTGCGGTCTTTCTGTGTAGGCTACTGGAATTAGCATGAAATTTGTTGATTTTTAAAAATGTGTTCCTCCATTCCCCATCCCTAGTGTTTATTTCTTTAAGTAAATATCTGTTACTTCTGCCAATAGAGAGCTCCTGCCTGCCATATGTTATCACAGGTATTAAGGGATAAAGGTAGTGATAAGGGTTTAGCTATTGGACTCAATTTGAGAAAATGAGTTCAACTGGGATTCTACAGAGTGCTATGTCTGGGGACTGCAGAGATGAGTAAGACATGTACACTGCCCAGAAATAGATAATTTATTATCTTAAGTGATGCTCAACCAAACTCTAGTATTTAATATGCATATCAAGCTTGTCTACCAAGAAGTTAAGAGTTCTCAGTTGAAAGATGACTCAATAGCCTAGAAACAGGAGAGGGGAGGCATAATGATTCCATTGATATCTTTGAAAAAGGAAACTCTTTCAGAAGTTTCTTTTCCTCTCTGACCTGATTTTTACCTGCTCCCTTGTTTTTCTAAACTCAGTATATAGCTTTATTGAGAGGGGATTTAAAAGAATGCCAAAGCAAGGAATACCAACAAAACATTTCTGCATAATGAATACATTTAGGTGGTTTTCAAATCAAAAAGCTCAGAATTATGTCAGGTTATGAATGTCTATAAAAATTTAAATGCAGATATAAGAAAAGAGCAGTATTTTTTCTTAGTCTTTTATTTTCATTCTGATAGGCTTTTCTGGTTTTTTTTTTTTTTTTTTAAATTGAGTCCCTTGCCTTCTGGAACTTTTTACCAGCAGGAGGTGAGAAATCATATAAATTGCTGGAAACAAATGGTAACAGCCAGCCATTTCTTTCATAATGAGCCATTAGATTGGTGTATTTGCATGTATCATTAAGATTTATTGCAAATTCTCTAATGGAATGACAATGCTAGAGATATACTCTGTCCAGTACAATTAGAATGCAGTCTTCTGGGGTAAGGCCACTACAAATTTTCCTTGCAGGAAAAAAAAAGTATGTCTTCTTTCATGAAAATATCAGTGAGAATGAAGAAGCTATTCTGACTGTTTTTTGCCCAATTCAACATTTTTTTTCATAACAAAATTCTTATGAATTTCACATTAGCTGGTGATTTGAAGCCAGACCTCTTCCAGAGTTCATTTTTTTTTTTTTAAATGCAGAACACAGGATAATCAAGATCAGGAACATTATCTTTTATTCTTTGATAGAAAAGGCAAATGCTTTACAGGCTCAGTTATCGCTGAAGGCCAATGTTATGTCACTACAAGAAATTGTAGAAGCATTCACCTAAGCAATTTGTGTGTGTGTGTGTGTGTGTGTGTGTGTGCGTGGTCGATGAGAGCTGGAATTAGAAGCAAATTCTCAAACAGACAGAGGTATGCCCTTGCTGAGAGATACACATGGGTCCATCCCACCCCACAGATTGGATTTCAAGAGAGTCTCTGGTGCCAGATTTAATTTTCACACCTCCTTTTCCTATTAATACTTGAAACAATTGGTCAAACATTTCTTATTCCCAGTAGAAGGCCTTTGGGAATTATTTTCTCCCTTCTACTCCTTAAAATGATAGAAATTTCCCAGCATCCTTGCATTGCTGTCACAGCTCCTATGATACCTCACTCACCCCAGGGGAACCATATGGAAATCAAATCCAAAGCTGCTTCCTGGCATCAGAAAAGCTTTCCAGAATACTTTTCAGAAATGAATTTTGGTTATTTGATAGTGATATGATGGGGGTTGGCTGTATTTCAATAGATCATTACAAATGGAGTATGGCTAACTCAAAGGGAAGAAATTAATAAAGAAAAATACATGGTTTATTATACATTCAAAGTCTTTAAAAATAACATTATACTGGAAATGCCTACCGTGTACTACATTACAAATGAAGACAGAATATGAAATTCATTGGGTCACTGAGTAGTCACCAGTTTAAGTCTATCAAATGGAACAGTCACTAAACTGGTGAGGTGGGATTCCTTCCTCTAGAGAGAACTGCCAGGGATGCATTCTACTTTGAAAGCCATAAACAACATGTTGAGGCTGCTGCACATGCTGTGCTGGTCAAGGCTTTCTGCAGATCCTCTCCCAATGTTACTGCCAAGTTGATGACCTGAAAGGGCCTCAGACAGCTGGTGGATCTGGTGGCAGGGACTTTCCAAACTACAAGGCCTGTTCCATCCCATAGTCATTTTTAGAAGCAAAGAAGATTGTCAAAATATTCTTTATGACATCATGACCATCATTGTTGCCACTACTCTCATTGTAAGTTTTCAACCATCATCAAGAAGAGTCACTGACACAATCTTCTCAATGTATATGGCTGAATTTGAACTTAAAAGACAGAGCCTGATTCCTGAGAAGAGGATAATAATGAGCGATATGTTTTCATTGGAAAATTCATGTTAGCAGCAAGAGCCCTGTTTGGTAAAAATCAGATGCAGATAAACAATGAGCATGGTTCAGAAATAATTGAGGGTTTCCACGGTTACTGAAAATCTTGTCAACACCCACTATTCTATTATACATTGGAAGACATGTCACTACATTTCTATAAATAGAGTACAACTTCATTCATTTCAACCCTGATCATGTGTAAGCCTCCAATCTTCTCAGGAATAAAGGAACCGGATTCGAGTATAATGGAAAAAGATGTAATGTAATAGGTGTGATGGGCCGTGTGTCTGAGGAAAAGTTAAAACAGCAAAGAACAAAGAAGGGGGTTTATAAAGGGAAGTGAGGCTAAAGGTCTTCAGTGGGCCACTGCCAAGGGAGAAAGATCCTGAGAGGTTGAACAACGTTGAACAATTCATTGCTTCCCCTGCCTGTCCCTTTGGTTTTAGGTACAAAACAAAAAAGAGGTAGGAGATTTTTAATTAAATATGGCAGGAAAAGGGACTTTTTTAAAGAAAGATCATAAAATGAAAAAGAATGAGAAAGTAGATGACAACACGTGATAGGTGCCCGCAAGATTTTGAAAACTGGAAAGCAGATAGTTGACTTGGCATGAAGCTAAAATTGCAGTATCTATAAGGATTCAGGGTCAGGTACAAGAAAAAGCCATTTTGCACTGCAGAAGTTGTCAAGCCCAGGTACTTCTGAATGTTGAGTAGTGGAAGACCGCAATAGCTATCACAGAGGGTAGGGCTCTTATAATACAAACAGAGGAACTAATCCCAAGATAGTATACTCCAAATGGTCATGTCCTCCCATCTCTTCTCCTACCTGGCTCTTAGCACACCAGCAGTTACTCATTTACTTCCCAGATAAGAAAGCATGAATGGATACTAACATCTAGGAGTCTCCACTGATACTTCTAGCTACCCCTCCCCCTTAATGAGCCTGTAAAAATGTCCACCAACTGTAAGTTCTATCCATGTGCACAGTTTCCACTAAACTAAGCATTTCACTCTTAGACAGACTACCTAGAATTTCCACTTTAGGAGTTGCTAGCATGAAAGACAAGAAATGAGGAAGCCAAGGAAAACAACACAGAAAGCAGGAAATGAAACCTTGTTAGAAACAATATCCTCAAATGATAAAAGAGGTCGCACCAATCAAGAAATAAGAACAAGCCATGCAGAAAATAAACAATCCAAGAAGAAATACAAAGCCCCTTGAAATTTAAATGACAGAAAAGTAATCTATAGGATAAAGTTGAAGAAATTCTATAGAAAGTTGACTAAATAAGAAAGAAATTGAATATATAAGGGAAAGTATAAGAAAATCAGAAGGTCAATCCAGGAACTGCATGCAGGGTTGAACCACAGAAGTTGGAGAAAGAAAGATGTAAAAATGGAAAGAAGAAAACAGTCAAGAACTTAGTTAAAATTTCCCTGAACTGAAGAAGGGGCCAAGCAAGTGCCCGGCATCCTGCCCCTGCTAAAGTGTTACTATAAATCTCAGAATGTTAAGGATTTTATAAGATTCCAAAAGGATTTAAGGATTCTATAAGATTCCAAAATCTTCCAGAGAGAAAAAATAGCTCACATATAAAATCTAAAGAAGCAGGCTGGCTAATAGACAATGGAACGATGCTATCAAAATTAAAAAAAAAAAAATAAGTTCAGCATGTAATTCTA